TGTCATGCCAGTGTCAAACTCTACCATGGATTCACTTAGGATAATGGCTCAGGTTTTGCTTCTAAGACCCTGGATATATATGTACTAGTGACTGCACTGTTAGTTACCCTCTATTTTGGACAGTCAGTGTGTGGAAATAAATAAGTGGCCAGCACTGTACTATATCATAAATTCAGACCAGGAATAATCAGTACAACCTCTCCAGAATCCACTGTTTGTCCTCACAAATTTGAACTCTGTCTTTTGAAAAAATGTATCACTTTGGTTAATGAAGATTATCTTTGCTCTATCTGTAGGAAGAAAAGACTGCTATTCAACTAGAAATGTAAACAGGAAAGAGCTTTAGCTTTCCTTTGGGCTAAAAAGTCAACTGGTTATTTATTTTCTGAAAGTACTCATAAATTCACTTTGATAAATGTGTGGTCAAAACCAATTGTACTAAACACAAATAATTCTTGGCCATGTGAAGTTTTAAATTTCTCTATCTTTTTATTCATGATATCTATCCTCCCTTATTTCTGTCAGAAGCATTGCTCTATTGGTTTAAGACAAGAAATTGCATGAAACATCCTTTTTTTCCTCTGAAGTTTACCAAAGTTATCCTCTCAACTTGGAGAACTAGAGAACATTTCCACTGTAGCCATTTGGCAAGCTCCCCGTTTATGACTCAATTGGAAGTATATAAAAAATTGAGCAGTAAGGGAAATAAGGATCTCAAAGTCTATGCACTTTGCTCAAGCTGAGGGAAGACTCACCCTCAGGCCTGAGGCTATGAAGAGAGAGCTTTCTGATTGAACTCTGTGGTTATCTGGTTTCCCAGTCGGTTTTAGCAGACAGCACATCAGAAACACGGAGGGGATTTGTGGTGAGCAGAGCTACTAGAGGTACATTCTTCAGAAACTGACATGAATTCAGAACCTGCAGAGACAGCAGACTGTTTGGAGCCATTTAACGTAAAGCCCTGAAGACATTGTCACCTTGTAGCCTAGTCGGTAAGCAATGTATAGATGATGACACTGAGGCATCTGACCAAGGAAGACATTTAAAATAATGTTCAGACAACATCCTGATTAGGATGGAATATATCTGAGAAAAATTCCTATCAAATGGTTTACAAATGCAAAACTGGAGTAATCAAAGCAGCACATTTCAGCAGTGCTTATGTGGGCCTGCTTATTCTTGGAATTTGACAGTTTTCCTATGCAGCTACTACAGGCAGTTCTCTCCTTTCCGTCACTTGTCAAAGTTCCCAAGTTATTACACAGCCCCTCTCATTTTGAGGGGCTTTTATTACTCGGTTCTCAGCATTCTTCTCTGTGTGCTCAGGTATTAATTCGTTTAATACTTACACCATCCTTATGTAATGGGTATAATAGTACCATTAGCTATGAAATAAGGAAATTAGGTGCAGGGAGAATATTCTCTGCCTGAAGTCACACAGCTGGTAGGTGGCAGGGTAAATCCATTTTGATACCTGCATCTTTTAAATGATAATCCCGTAACAGGGGAGAGCCGTCCATCCTGTCTTCTCTTCCATGTCTGAGCTTGGCTTCAAATGACATCATTTTACACCCATCTACTCGTCTTGTTTATTTTCCTCTGTGCTCTCTAAAATTCTGTCTCTGTGAAATAGGCATGATTCCCTAAATTATTTTGCATCTGAAACTTCTATTAGCAAAGTCTAAGATGGATTTACCTTTGGTTGGGCAGCCAAGTGGGATTTACAGCTCGTATTAAGCTTTTATCCGGCCAGCCCGAGTGGGCTGCTCTAATAGCCGCCTGACTGGTCTCCTGCCTCCACCCTGACCCTGTGGTGTCTGTTCTCTAATCAGCAGAGCGGGCTCATTAAAACTTTTGCCAGATGACTCCTGCGCTTGAAGCCCTCCAGTGTCTTCCCACATTACTCAGAGTAAAAGTCGAAGCCCTGCAATGGTCTGGAAGGCCCTTTGGGGCGGCCCCCAGCTTCCTGTCCGCCTTCACCGCCAGCCACTTTCCCCGTGCTCTGGGCTCCAGCCACGAACACCTCTGCCTGTACCCTTTGTACCTGCTGTTCCCTCTGCCTGGAACGGTCTTCCCCAGATCACCACAGGCTCTCATTCTTTTCTTAGGGTCTTCACTCAAATGTCACCCTCTCATTCCCACGCCGTCATTCGCCACCCTCCTTTCCTGCCTATCACGAAGTCATAGCATTTATCACCAGCTCTGGGCTCCCTTCCTCTGCTAGACCTCATATAAGATGACTTCCACAGGAACTTTTCCTGTCTTAGTCGTTAGTGCATATCCCATCATGAGAATAGCGCCTGGCATATTGTACGTAGCCAATAAACAATTATTAAATCAAGATTCTTGTTGTTTTGGACCTTAACTGTTGTTGATCAGAGGACTGCTTAATCTCCTACTGTATGGTTTATTTTGGGGACATTTAGATCTAGTCCCAGAACTTCACATTTTGTTACTCCCTTATCCAGATACATTGTGTCCTTGTATTTTTTTTTTTTACTATTTTATTTTTTTATCAGAAAGGAAATGAGGCAGGGAGCATCTGACTTGTTCCTAGAAAATCCCTAGTATATATCTGGGATCAGAGATATATATTTATATTTTCCAAGTGCAAACCACACTCCAAAAATTATATTTTACAGTTTTGTCAGGTGTCAAGATCAAAGTCTTCCACCGACCACTTACAAAATCCACTCTCCAGCCTTTTTGAAAAACGGAAGAGGTTTCCTGCATCCCCAGTCTCCTAGTTTTTTCTGGCTCCCCATTCTTTCTCCAAGACAACCCATTCCTTTAGGCCCATGTTTTTGGGTTGCATCCCCTGTGTCTTTGGTGGATTCCTTCCATTCTCAGAATGGGCTAGGGGCGAGCGCTTCTGGGCTGCTCCCAGAACAGCGGCACCTTCTCAGTGGAGAGTGAACAAAAATCCCAACAATCCAGTCACTGCTTGCAGCTGGCCTTCATGAGCTAGTTTTCCTACAGAATTAGTGCAGACAAGTCCCCTATTTCCCTCACTTCTGGGAGTGTTTTGGCTTCCAGAATTTTCCTGCCTCCCTGTTACCTCAGGCTCTTTTGTCCATCTATTTTTAGTTTTCAGAGTTCATATCCTGCTTTCTCCATTTCAATTTGATCACATTAATCTGATTTTCTGCCTCAGTGAACTGAAGTTGGACTACTCCCAGTTTTTTTTTTCGAAACGCAAGAGCTTCCTTCAAGAAGTGACCTGAGTAGAGCTGGTTTCAGCTTTCATTAAAGCAACATTCCAGCTCTTTGTGCAAAGCCTCATGCACTGTTGCCCCTTCTCTGGAAGCCAACGGATCTCAGCTTCCCCCAGTGTGGGAGGAGCCTAACTGACACGGACTGATCCCTTCTGAGTCTTGCTTCCTTTTAACATTCTTTATCATAATTACCTAAATTTATCCATTACTTTATTTCTTAGAAGTATCATGTTATTTTGACTCACATGGAGGGGAATAAGAACCCACCTCTCTTTGACATGGCAGGACCAAGCCATCACGTTCACTGAAGGTGCAGGGCCTCCGTTGCTTTTATCTACACCTTTGCTGCCGCTCCGAGACCCGTGACGACCACGGACAGGCCTGGACTCGGCATGCATTTGTGTCCTGGCTCTACCAGTTACTGGCTAAGTGAGGCAATTTATTTAAGTTCTCTGAGCCTCAGTTTCTTAATCTGTGTAGTGGTGACACAAAATACTTCTAGGTTTGTTGTAAGGCTTACATGAGGTATTATAATGCAAATCACTTTGAACAGTCACTTAAAATTATTTTCTCCTGTTCTACAATAGTATGTGCAACGTTGGAACAGAGGGAAGAGGTGGGAACTTTTCTAGAAGGCTTGGTTACTGCCATTTCACCTGGGCCTGGAAGACTTGTTTTTCTGGGTGAAGAAATGATTTCCCTGTGTGACGGTTTCATAATCACTGTCAAGCAGGCCCATGGGCCCTGCCATTTAAAGTGGCTCCTCTCTTTTATGTCATACTCACCCTGGGAGTGAGGACACTGATGTGGCTCCTGAGATTCCACAGGATAAGCATGGAGTTCTCTTTGAATTGTACGTTGCCATGACTCCATTGTTTTGGTCATGATCCCATGACCAGACGTGACATGCACACTCTTTGACTCTCCCATCACGCAGAGGCATTCTTATTTCCTGTGACCTCCAGTGAGTTTGGCACAGGTAAGTGAAAGGGAAGGGCGCGTGGTGAAGTCAGCTATAGAACCGGTGTTTCACATGGCCATCCGAGAAATTGAAAGCAAGCCTTTTAAAGTTTTCCCAAGACACATGAGGAGAATGTATCTGTGGAGCGGAGGGTTACCTTTTCATTTTTAAAATGGCCACGAAAATGAAAATTTGTCAGGAAAAAAAATGACCTGCAAAAAGACAAGGACAACATCATTTATACAGGGAGGGAAAATTACCCAAATAGAGAGTTTCTCTAAATATGAGATTGAAATAAATAGAAAGGAGCGACCACCAGCCTTTTTTTTCCCCCTTTCCCCACTCCCAATAACTGACTTTTAATGGAATTCTCTGGAAAACATATAAGTACCAACATCACCCCCATGAACCCTAATTCTAGGCTGCTTTTGGTCACTGTAAAATTATAACACCTTCAGTGTATCTTTAACAGCTTTTTAGGAACATATTAACCAAATGTGCAAATTTTGATCTGGCTATGAAATGCTAGGAGAGCTGTGAATCTCTAGGATTAATGAATAACATTTATTTGTTTATCTGATTTCCTTTAAAAATCATTCTAAGATCCGTGTACATATCTGTCCTGTCCAGGATGAACTTTATATTGGTTCAGCAGATTGTTTACTGTTTTTTCTCCTTCTCCTTCTTCTTCTTTTTTTTTTTTTCCGTCTTCCCTGCTCAGTGCCCAGCCCAAGTTCAAAGGCTGATGAGAGAGAAAAACTCATGAAGAGGTTTTACTCTAGGGAAAGTTGTTCAGTGGATGGGATCTTGGCGCACAGGGAAAGATGTCAGGCTCTTCCTGGCTCCTCCTCAGCCTGGTTGCTGTAACTGCTGCTCAGTCCACCAGTGACGAAGAGGCAAAGACATTTTTGGAGAAGTTTAACTCTGAAGCTGAAGAGCTGTCTTATCAAAGTTCACTTGCTTCTTGGAATTATAACACCAATATTACCGACGAGAATGTCCAAAAGATGGTGAGTTCTCATGGCTGCATAAGGGGATTTGTTGCTGCTTAGATTAGATTACTGTCCATACAACTGAAAAGGGAAATCATAGAAATGCTCTGAGCTGTGAAGTTGGATGTTTGCTTCAGTATTTCTGATTCTGGAGTCCCGGATGACTAAACTTAATTGACCCTGCAGTTCATCTGGAAAAATTGTTATAAAAAAATTCACTGGTCTCAGCCCAGATTTTTGGAAACCAGTGAACATACTTTAAAGTTGCCACCACAATTCTCATCATAGTTAGGATGTCAAAGCATTTCGTGGAAATGCCATAAATTATTGAGTTAGGCATTTCCCCAAGCCTACAGAGTCAACAGGAATATCTAAAATATATTATTTTAGAGAGTCTGAAAAATGCAACTGGTGGCTTAGTGAAAGAGCTAGCCAGTAATTAAGCTAACCATGGGTTGGTGAGGCTGGACTTGGGAATTCCTTCCTTCATTGTCACAGAGCTCTAAGGGACTTCCAAAGGTCACAGGATCCATCCAGAGTCATCCAAGAAAAACCGTAGTTACACCAGTCCTGACAAATCTCAGAAGGCTCTGGGAAAGCAAGATGCTTTGTTTGACAAATGCAAGGATGTAGGAATTTCTTCTCTCACAGATCCTTCAGCAGCAAGTCTCCTCACACATTTAGTGCTGGAAACTGAGCAACATTACTTAAGCAAAGATTTTTGTGCCACTCACACAGCCTTACGTTCCTTCAAAAATACAGTTCAGAAGCTTATTTTCTTCAAATGCTTGGTGGGTGGCATGTTTAAATTAAATTACTGCCCTTCACGGGACAGATCAAACCTGAGACCAACTGCCTCATTTGAAATTCCCGCAAGAGCATGTTTTCAATTTTTCTAAAGCTCAAAGAACTCCAGGAGATTTTGACAGCTCAGAGTGGTCATCGGAGATATTTTGGTCTTACCTCTCTTCATCTCTTCATTGTTGTTTTTTCCTCACTTTTTAAAATCTGATCTCTGTTGGAGGGTATCGTGTATTTGTTTTCATGCTCAGGCGGACAGTCTCTAGGCGGGGGTGACGCTGGACCAGCGTCAGGCCTACGAGCTCTGCAGCCAGACTGCCAAGGTGTGAATCTTGGCTCCACCACAGTCTAGCTGGTGAACTGGAGCTCATTATTGAACCTCTCTGCACCTCAGTATTTTTGCCTGCAAAAAAGCACATTACACTCATATCTGCCACGTAGGGTCACTGTGAAGGCTGAATTAATGCACAGAACCACCAAAGAGTGCTTGATGCTGTGAGCATGGGAGAATGATAAGATTTTGCTATTGCTTGATGTTTGTGAGCATGGGAGAATGATAAGATTTTGCTATTGGTGTGAGAGTTATAATCGCTGCAGAGACAAGTCACAGTTCTGCTAAGCGCCCAGATGCTGAGAAGGCACATTCTAGGGTGAGGTGTAGTGCCATTTGTTGAAATTACCTTGGGATCATATGTGCTATCACTTCTGAATTGCACTGGATGATTAGAGCAAAGGCCAGAAACGAAGGGGTATGAATCAGTCACAAAGTGTGGCTCAACTGCAAATAGCATGGGCCCTTTAATGCGAAGTAAAAATACTGGGATGCAAGAAGCAAGCACTACATCCAGGGAGGCGGCCTGGCGGTCAGCACACGCTGCCCTTCCTGGTGTGTGCCAGGTAACCGGGGGAAAGGGCTTTAGTTTAATTGTGGCTAAATGCTCTGGTAGGCAGCAGTTTTGTGGCAGTTTCAGACCTAGTCAGAGGACATAGGGAACAAGGTGGTGGTTTTCTTTACTTCTACTATTGAGGGCTTTTAACAGCAGCTTTATTGAGATATAATTTACACATCATAAAATTCATCAATTTAAAGTATACAAGTCAATGCTTTTCAGTATATTTACAGAATTGTACAACCATCTAATTTTAGAGTGTTTTCATCACTCCAAAAAGAAACCGCACGCCCGTTTGCAATCACTTTTCCTCACGTTTCCCACCCTCCGCAGCCACTAATCTGCTTTCTGTCTCTAGATTTGCCTACTCTGAACATTTTATATAAATGGAATTGAACAATCATCGGTGGTCTTTTGTAACTGGCTCCTTTCACTTCGCATGTTGTAGCATGTAACATTACTTTGCCCCTTTTTATTGACAAACAGTATTCCTTTACTTCTTATCATGAAAATTTTCAAACAAGTATAAAAGAAGAGACTAGTGTACTGAATCTCCTTATACCTATCACCCAGCTTCACCAGTTATCAACACTTGGGCCAATCTTGTTTTATTTTTCTGCCCACCCCACATTTATTGGATTATTTTGAAGGAAATCCCAAGTACCATATAGTTTTATGTGTAAATATTTCACCTCGTAGTTCTCACAGTAAGAATTTTTAAAACAAACTTTAATGACAGTACTATGCCAAAGATGTACTAAGAATTCCTCAGTTATCCCCAGATGTCTAGTCAGTATTCAAATACACTCTACTGTCTGTCTCTTTTTAAAAACATTTCAGCTGGTTTGTTTGAATCTGGATCTATCAAGGTCCTGTCTTTCTAATTGTTTCGATGAATGTATTTTAAGTCTCTTTTAATTTAGTCCTTCCCTCTTTTCCTTCCTTACTGCCTGCCTGCCTTCCCTCCCTTTCTTTGTTTTTTTTTTTGTAGTTTATTTGTGGAGAATTGACTTGTTGGTCCCATAGAAATTCCCACTTTCTGGATTTGCTGATTGCGCCTCCTTAATATTGCTTAACGTGACCTTTTGTCCTCTGCATTTCTTGTAAAGGTATGGATCTAGGGCAAAGGTCAGAATACGTTTTTGTGCAAAAAGCCAGAGAGTAAATATTTCAGGCTTTGTGGATCCTAAGGCCTCTGTTCAACTCTACTGTTATAGCACGAAAGCACCCATAGACAATACATCAGTGGGGGTTCCTTTATTGGACTATGTTCCAATAAAACTTTATTCACCAAAACAGATAGTGGGCAGAGTCCTGATCTACAGACTTGATCAACTCAGGTTTCACATTTGAGTTATGTAAGAGGGGTGGAAACTGAATTCACACTACGAGTACCGTGCCAGAGCAGTCAGCCAAGAAATTAACAAAAAGCTAGTTTAGTTCCCTAGAGCTCTGGAAAAAGAATAGCTTGGGATGGAACACTGTGTTTTTACGGGTCAGCATTCAAGGTAACATAATGTAATTTTTTTGGTGATTGAAAATATAACATGTAGTATGGGAGTATAAATAAAATAAAACAGACACCTTCAGAGTTCCCATATGCAGTATAATAAAAGAAATTCTAAGACTGAGGCCTTTGGGGGACTGTGAGTTGTATCCACATTAGGTTGAGGACAAAATTGTTCCTATAATTTGGTATCAAAGTTTTACCAGAGATTTTGCTTGACAATAAATCACCCTGGTTATGAAGAAGGGTAGGGATTTAGAGGTAAGTGGTGGGCTGCATAGATAAGTCTGTGCTCTAGACCAAACTCCTTTTTCCATAGCTTCCTCCTTCCCACTTACTCATGTTAGAAGACTAGAATGTGTCCAACATAATCTATCATTGATGGGTAAGAGCATTAGCTTTCAATGTAAACGTATCTGAGTTGGTGCCCTGGTTTTTCCAATTACTAGCTGTGTGGCATAGGGAAAGTTACTTACCCACTCTGTGCGTCATTTCTCTCATTTGTGAAGTGGAGAAAATCACAACGACCTCACAAGATCATTTGTGAAGACTAATTAAGAAGTAGTTCCTGAGGGGTTTTGTGTGCTCAAAAAGAGAGAAATTATTTTCCATTTTCACTCACGCTACTCTCTTTATCTCTTGTCTGATCCATTGTTGTCATTGCTTGTACCATTTCCATCACGTCACATGTCTGCTTATAACCCCTAAGTGACTCTCTATTATTCACAGGATAAAAATACAATTCCTTGGCCTGAAAATGGAATCATGCCTGGAGTCTTGCCTTTGGGATCTGTACTAGGTATCTATTGTGTTAAAAATTACCACAAGCTTAGCAGCTTAGAACAACACACATCTATTATCTCACAGCTTCTGTGGGTTCAGAAGTCCAGGCATAGCTTAGCTAGATCTGCCTCACAGTCTCATAAGGTTGCAGTCAAGGTCCTGACTAGAGCTGTGGTCTCATCTGAAGCTTAGCTGGGGATGAATCCACTTCCAAGCTAATGTGCTTAGTGGCAGCATTCAGATCCTTGTATGCTGCTGGAATGAGGTCCTTAGTTTCTTGCCAGATGTCAGCCAGAGGCCATCCTCAATTCCTCAGCAAGTGGCCCTTTCCACAGGGTAGTACATAACATGGATTTGCTTCATCAAAGTCAGCAAGGAAGATAGGATCTTCTAGAAAGATAAAAATTACAATCTTATGTAGCATAAACATGTACATCTTGTAGCCTTTGGTATATTCTACTGGTTAGAGTGTGTCCACCCCAGGATCCAGGATCCAGATACTGGAAGTTGATTGCCAGCTCCACTATGTATTTCTCTCAGCCCTTTCATGCATATATGAAAAATGGAGATAGAATGATTTTCTTTCTTACAAGGTTGCTAAGAAGATCAAATGAGGTAAATTATTTTGCAGTGCATTCTACACCCATCTAACTCCTACCTACTTTAACTCCTGCCTGTCTTAGGCCCCACCTTTTCCATGAAGGCTTGGCAGACTCTAGTTGCTGCATGAGCCTCTCTTTTTCTACAACAGGAACTGCTTGGCCCACTCATAGGTTAGACACCATTATATGCTCTTATGCTTAATTAATGAAACATTCATGATGCATACCTTATCTATCTGATAAAACTAAGCAACCTAAGGACAAGGGCCTTTTGTCTATAAATAAAATTCCTAGCTTTTTTGAATGGTTAGGATGTGTCAGGCACTCTGATAAGCATTCTATTGTTGGTTAATTCTTCTCATCCTTACAACACCCTTTGAGGTAAGCCCTATTATTACCCTCATTTTATAGATAAGGTAATTGTGGCTCAGAGAGGCTAAGTAATTTGCCCAAGGTCACACAGCTAGTCGAGGTGTCTTACTCCAGGAATGGAGATGTTACTTGTCTCATGTGCTACCTCTTCTATATGGTCTAGAGAAGTACAATATACAGAGTAGTAGCTCATTTCAGTCTGTGATAAATGGAAATGTATTTGTGCATTGAGAGAAGACTGCACTAGAGAAATCTGAAGATGTCCACTTGCCTACTGATATTCAAGATGGGGAGCAAGTGAGTCCTGGCATCATCACCTGCTTGCTGTTTCTTTTGCTGGTAGAAAAGCACCATGGCTACCAAATTCCAGGCAACCTTCTTTGGTGAACATATTTTAAGATCAGAATCTCTGGTAAGTCATGGCACCATGGAGCTTACTGCAAACTGGTTCTCATTTCTATGGCTCCCATCACCTCGAAGGAACTGCATTGCCATTAAGCCTCCTCTGAGCTCTACTGGGCTCTGCCTCTAGGGCATTCATCCTTGAAGCTTCAATCAACTGATGCACATCACAGCACTAAGGCTATAAATTCCCCACAGTGTGAATCATCTGTGAGAATTCACTTCCAGTTCTAGGGACAGAGCCCTTGGGAAGACTTAGGCCCTGGGCCAGAAAGAGAGAGTGACCAAGAGTGACCTGGTCACTCTTAACCTAAGCCTTGACCTTCAGCAAAGTAGAGAACTAAACCACTTAGGAAACATTAGATGTTCTACCAGATGTTCTTTGGACCCTATCTTCTGTTCCATCTGTTCAAACAGTGCCATTCTGACTTCAATTTTATTTTTTGTCATTTCAGAATGTTGCTGGGGCCAAATGGTCCACCTTTTATGAAGAACAGTCCAAGATTGCCAAAAATTATCAACTACAAAATATTCAGAATGACACAATCAAGCGTCAATTGCAGGCCCTTCAGCTAAGTGGGTCATCAGCACTCTCAGCAGACAAGAACCAACGAGTATGTGAACATTCTAGCACTTCTCTTAAGAGCTGAAATATTAAACATTGATATAACCTATGGCTGCTTCCTTTATCTGCAAAGATAGTAATGCTGACTTTGGAAAGAGCTCTGGGCCTAGGTAGGGTGACCACATAATTTATCGTCCAAACTGGAACCCTTCTGAAAGTGAAAGAAGACACTAGTCATAATTATGTTAGGATGTCCATGGAGTTAAACTGGGATAGTCTGGGCACTGTGTTGTAAATGGACACCCTATACAGGGGTCACCTTCCTGAGGACCAGGCAGCCTGAAGAATACACTTAGTCTATGTCAGTGATTCTCAACTAGGGGTATTCTCAACTAGGGGACCCAGGGAGTTTGACAATGGAGATATTTTGGGTTGTCATAACTGGTGAGGGCAGGGAGTGGAAGCTACTGGCATCTAGTGGGTAGGGGCACTGCTAAACATCCTGCAGTACTCAAGACAGCCCCCCAGTAACAGAGAACTATCTGGTCCAAATGCCAGCAGTGCCAAGCTTGAAAAGCCCCTTATGCAGTTCAGTCCTTCCCCCTTTCATTCCTGACTCTCCTCTGCAAGTGCTTTGACAAGTGGCTAGCAACCTCAGCTCAGAGCGCCCTAAGGATGGGTGATTTACCTCTTGCCAACACATGGCTTCCATGTGAAGGTGTCTCTTTTATGGAAAGATCCTCCCTCCGATAAGCACTATGTGCTTTACTTCCACTGTGTTTTGCCTCCTGGACCCAAATTGCTCTTTCTTAGAATAGTCTTTAAATAAATGAAGGCAGCTAAATTTTTTTTCCACTGGTTGAATTGTTTTTCTCTAGGCTAAACCTCCTTCACTCCACCCACTTTCCCTTTCCCCTATACAGTGGTTTCGAGTCCCTTAACCAGTGCTAGTTGCTGTCTTCATTTTGTCAGTGTCCTTGGACCAAACACAGCACTCTGAGTTGATTCTGGTTTGCATGGAGGTGAGCAGGAATAGACATTTCATGCCCTGTGCTCTACATCTAAGATGGTCTAGGACTGTATTAGGTTTTTGTTTGGTTGGTTTCATTTTTTTGACAGTCAGATTCCATGGTTGGCTTATATCGATGTCAGTGTCAATGAAGTCTTCAAATCTCTTGCACCAATGTTGCTATAAAATGCTACCTTTTAAAATTCTATTCTTAGTTTGTCCAAATTGAAGAAAGCCTATACTCACTCCTGTTAAAATGACATCTCTTATCCTATTTCTCTAGCTCACGAGTCAGGAGACTTTTTTCTATAAAGGAAAGACAGTTAATATTTTAGGTTGTGTGGACCATACTGTCTCTATCACAATGAGTCAACTCTGCTGTTTTAGCAGGAAATCAGCCATAGCTGATATATAAACAAATGGGTGTGGCTGTGTTCCAATAAAACTTTACAGAAACAGACAGCAGGCAGGATTTGGTCTGCACGTCATAGTTTACAGCCCCTTGATCTAACCTACTGAAATATCTTTATCTAAAATATTTGGCTATTTAACATCAAAGTCTTCTTTCTCAGTTGCTTGTCCTCTGGAACTTTTAATCTGCATCTATAAAAAGAAAAACTGTGATAAGGACAAAGATGTGACCATATGGCATGTATCTTTCTATAAGATGATAGTTATCATTCTGCATTCTTTGGTTCCAATTATCTAACTAGTTATTAATGCACATTATCTTATGCATTCCATGCTTCCTCATCCTTTATACAAAGACACCATGTAAAACCTTTTGGAGTCTGGACAGCCTGATCTAGCCTAGGTGGAATCTCTGCATGGTATTTTTGAGAGATCCCAGATAATTGTAATGAGCAGCCAGGACTGAAAACCACTGAAATGCATGCAGGATCTTGAGGTGTATGGGATGAGGGGACACTCAAGGATGCAAGAATTCAGCGCAGAGGAAGGAAAGGAGATTGAAAAAGTAGGTAGAGAAAGCCATGTGGAGTTTTGTGCCATAGTAAGGAATTTGGGTTGATTCCTCTGGACTATGGAATCTTGCTGAAGTTTTACACATGAGATCTATTTCATGTTTTAGGGGAATGACTCTTGTAGCTGAGTGAAAGAGTAGTGTAAGAGGTAGATAGGAGAAGAAACACCTTTGTCCGGTAATTCCTAAATCATCTGTGGGAGAGAAGCAGTCCTTCCTTTCTTCCTTCTTCCCTCCCCAGCTCCTTCCCTCCCTTTCCTCCCTTTCTCCCTCTCTTCTTTCCTTTCTTCCTCTACTACCAATCCATCAAAGGTCAATACTTGCTTAAATCATTGACCACACGCTTGCATGTCATGGAAATATCAAATTATTTTTGAAAGTTTATAAATTTCTTTCCCCTCAGTTCCTGTACTTGTCTCAGCATGTAAGCAAACCATATGCTGACTTGCACTGGTCCGTGGACCACACTTTGAGCAGCACTGCTTTACCCTGTTGCCTTTACCCCCCTTTACCTACAGGGCAGAGTTGACATGCTTCAGTATGACATGAAAGGTCCCTTGTGATCTGGCTCCTGCTCACCTCTCCAGTCCCACATCGACCTCCTCAACCGCGCCACCACTCCAGGGTCCTTCCCCATGTCGTCACTCCCTGGAAAAGCCTCGTCCTGCCCAGCCTCCTTCCGTCCTTTAGGCTCTGCCTTCTATCTCCCTTCTCTACTTGACCAATTCCTACTTCTCTTCCAAGGCACACCTCTAATGTCCCCTCCTCTTTGAAGCTATTCTTGAATCTCCTGGTTATTAATGTAGCCACTCCCACCATAGTGTCACATCACTTTTTGGTGACAGTTGTAATACTTGTCACTCTATCATATAATTAGAGATTTCATGGCTGCCTTAGTATTGAGTGACTAGGGGATCTTTGAGGACGGTGACTTGTTCGTGTCAGGATAGTCAGTGTAGGACATAGGAGATGTTCAGGAAGTGTGCACTTAGCTCTGAGTGAGGCAGCAAGAGTGCTTCTCTGCACACATGCAGGTGTGAGACATTCTCGGGATTTTCATAGACCTGCGTATTTCAGTGACTCCACATGTATTTATTATGTGCTATAAATACTGGGAAAATTTAAATGAGACATTCCTGCCCTACATACAGGAAGATACTTGGCAAAGATGTGAACTGCTGTATTTTGAGGCATAAAAAAACTACATGACCAAAAGGACATCTTTACTTTAGCATTCTCTTTAACATATTTTACATTTTTAATACTGTTTCTTATCTTTAATTTGCAGTTGAACACAATTCTAAATACAATGAGCACCATCTATAGCACCGGGAAAGTCTGTAACCCAGGTAATCCACAGGAGTGCTCATTACTTGAACCAGGTAGGCTATTAATTATGAACAGTGACTGTGAAATTTACTTTTTTATTCTAAGTTTTTAAAATGAGATGGACATTAGATGATGACACTGTGCCTTTCAGATGGATGATCCAAAATAATAAGATTCCAAATATGTGGTTGAGCACACAGATGAACTTCTAACTTCTGGCAAAACCTCATTGTAAATTCTGTTGCAGTCAAGTAATTTAATTAAGTTACTAGTTAAATGGTTTCAGCAGTTTATTTTCTCAGCAGAAAAATTTTGAAACTATGATAAGGGTGAGGAAACTAATGAATTGTGAGATTTCATTTAATAACTTTATGATCTTCGTGTCTGCCAGTCTTTTAATTCCTTAAAGTTCACATAATTGTTCGCAAAATAAAAATCTTACAAATGCACACTTCTTTCCCTTCGGATGCTTCGCAATAACAGGTCTGGATAACATAATGGAAAGTAGCAAAGACTACAATGAGAGGCTCTGGGCTTGGGAAGGCTGGAGGTCTGAGGTTGGCAAGCAGCTGAGGCCATTATATGAAGAGTATGTGGTCCTGAAAAATGAGATGGCGAGAGCAAACCGTAAGTTCGCCGGTCTGCAGAGGTCCTGCAGCTCTCTATGGGGCCATGGGGCTATTTCTCATGAATTACCAAGGCTGCCCTTTGATATAAGGAGTATCCCAGAGTTAATGATCATCTGCTGAACAATCCAGGGTACCTGTCTTAAAGAAGAAACTACTAGGGAATAAGGAGAGGTATGCTGACATTCTACAGCTTCCTGAGGGTTCCCAAGGTAGTCTGGGAACTGAGTAGGGATTCTGTTTGTTAGACATGATGAGAGAGAGAGACACCATCTCTCATCTAAACTCCCATCTGACCACAGTTCTTTCTCATTTGTGTGTTTACCTCAGGGTGCTGTCTCAGAAAGAAAAAAACAAATCAGATTAATGTAGGCAGGAAATCCATTATTTTCTGCATTTCTAAGTATAGCTGGAATCATGTGGTCATAAAAATCTTAATACAGGGAGGGATTTCCATATCTCCTACCTGATTCTCCTGCCTGAATAATGAGGTGAAGTGGGGGGGTTATGAGTAACTTCATGCTTTGGTGATTCACTGCCTCCTGGGGTTGTGTAAGGCAGAGTTATATTCATCTGCTCTTTGTAAATGTCTTTCCCTGCCTCCTCAGTGCATCTTCCCAAGCCCTAGGCAAGCTGGAGACAGTAGCTTATTGCCATGTCCTTCCGTCCAAATATTTATTTCTGTCCTTTTCTTCCTGATCATTCTTTGCCAATGTGCATGTAAAAATAAAAATCATTAAAATGTATTTGCAAACTTTATTAGCTAATACTCTAATACAAGCTCACGTGTCTTGATGAGCTACTACACGGAGCACACAAAGATGTGCTGGGCTTACATATAATTTGGAATGGGTCCACTGTGCCCATGTCTAAGATGAGTTGGGTTAGATTTGAAAATGTGAGACCAAAATGAAAAATTTTAAATTCAGATGCAAACATGTTTTAAAGCTAAAGATGCAAAGTGACCTGTGGAGCGAGTAGAGACCGGGGCTAGGGGACGAGGTATGTGCCTCTGCGTTTACCAGTGATTGGCGTGACCTTGGACAAATGATGTCACTATCTAAGAGCAGGCGGTTCATAGTGGCTATTATAATAACGTCAACCTTGGAGAGTTATTGTGCTTATTAGAGATAATAGATTTAAATTTCTGGCACAAGCAAGTGCTTAAGAGACTTTATTTAGTGCTCATATTCATTTATATTCCTTTGAGCTGAAATTTACAAGGGCAATAAAAAGGTGACAGATCTTTGGATGTTTTTGAGCCTCCCAGCAAGGCTAATTCTATGTATTTCATGCTTTCTCTCTCTCTTTCCCTTATGTTCTGTTCTTCTCCTTTCTCAACACAGATTATGAGGATTACGGGGATTATTGGAGAGGAGATTACGAAGCGGAGGGGGCCAATGGCTATAACTATAGCCGCGACCACCTGATTGAAGATGTGGAACATATCTTTACACAGGTAACTGAGGAACGGTCCACAGAGGCAGGTGCAGGCAGCGCACGGGAAGAAGGGATGTCACCAAAAGCACTCTGGCTTGTTCTTACCGCCCTGGTCAGCCATTCCCAGGCCCCAGAGTCATGGGCTATTAGAGCCTGACAAGATTTTAAAGAGTAATAGGGCAGCTCCTCCAGATGATCAGAACTGCTCTGCTTTCCAACTGGTCAGCCACCGACCAGCAATTAGCAATAGCAGGACTGTCAGAAGGAAAGATTCTAGGAAGGAATGGTCTTTTCGAGTACAGGAGGGGATGGTCTTTGCCAGCTGCCTGGCGCTGGCACTGTCCCCCTTTGTCTGCAGGGCTGCAGGCCTTGCCTCCTTCCTCAGGACAACTGCTAGTGTTGTTTCCTCACCTTTGACTCTGGGAGCCTTTACAGGGTGGGGAGAGGCCTCTGAATAGAAGTGTGCCGCGGACCCCTCTCAGTGTTACCCTCCTCCGTCCTGACCCTCACATGCCCCCTTTCCCCCGTACCTTCCCACTTCTCAGGCAAAGCGGCTCTGTCGCAGGCATAGTTGTGCAGAGCCATCAAAATGGAAGGAGAGACAAGCCCCCACAACCGAATTGCGCAAAAGATTTGAATAAGTACATCATCAAAGAAATTTTACAAATGGCAAATGAGCAAGTAAAGAGTTATTAGGGAAATGCCAGTTCAAGTCATGACTACAAACCACTACACACCCACAAGAGTGGCTGTGATTTAACAAGACTGACGAGTCCAAGTGGTGGCGAGGTTGTGGAGATGCCAGAACCCTGACATGCTGCTGACAGAACCGTACTGGGGCGCAGCCCCTTTGGAAAATGGTTGGGCAGTTTCTGAAAAAGCCAAACACGTGCTTGCCATGTGACTCAGGTATCCCGTTCTTAGGCACTTATGTGAAAGAAATGAAAATGTGTATCCATACGAGGACTAGCGCACGAATGTTCACAAGAGCATTATTCATGATAACCCCGAACTGGAAACAATCTAGTCTCCCTTCCACGGGCGAGTTTTATCCATGAGATACTAAATGAAGCAAGTTCTGATGTCCCTGCCATGAAATGCTGCTCAGCAGTACAAAGGAATGAAGTACTGACACAGGCAGTAAGACGGATGAACCGAAAAACATGCTAAGTGAAGGAAGCCAGACACAAAATGCCCCGTAGTGTATGATTTCATGTACATGAAATATCCATATAGGCAAAAGATAAATGGTCAAAACTGTAGACACAGGAATCAGTTCAGCAATTACCTGGGGCTGGAGGTGGGAGTAGTTTTGACTGCAAATGGGCATAAGGAAACTTTCTGGGGTGCTGGAAATGTTCTAAAATAGGGTGGTGATGATGGCTTTACAACAGTATAAATTGACTAAAACTCATGGAACTATACATGTAAAAATGGGAGCATTTTATGGCTTGTAAATGAGCCTTCAGCCTAAGAACAAAGGAAGTAGGTAGCATCTGAAAAACGAATATTGTTTGCATCTGCTTATGTTTTGGGCCCTGCAAAGTCCAGGTGTGTTTATTGCTTTATGCCATGGAGCTAGTAGTGACCAGCAATATCTGGGAAGAGCGAATGCTTTCAAACTCTCCAGAATATTTGAGAGGAGAAGAAATGAGAATTTAGGGCAATTCTGCTGGTATAAAGAAGCTCCTATACTTAGTGCTAGTGACTGGAAACTGGAGTAGGCTACTCTTGGTCTTAAACTTTCTTCCTGGGCTCTTCAGATTAAACCATTATACGAACATCTTCATGCTTATGTGAGGGCAAAGCTGATGGACAACTACCCTTCCCATATCAGCCCAACTGGATGCCTTCCTGCCCATTTGCTTGGTAAGAAACTCCACGAATTCTTTATGTACTTTGCTCTTGGTTTTATTTCCATCAATAAAGTTGTCTTTTGGAGTGAGTCCCAACATAAAACTTTTAAAAAATACTGTGAATGAAGTTAGTTGTAGAAATCACATTTTGAAAGCACTTTCTTCAACAGAAAATCCATTTTAAATCCTTCTCTATTGCATTATTTATTGTATACACAAGGAGTTATTATGTTGGCGACAATCCAAAGGATAAAGGGGTTATTTAAGAGAAAGAACTGCAAGTTCGAGTGAGAGTGGAAAGGGGGAAAATAAGCTTTACTATTCAAGTTGGTTAGCTAAGCTCTTGAGGTGCAGTCTGGGATTTTAGCATCATATTGTCAGAGGAAAAAAGCTCGGGAGGCTGGGGGTGGTCAGGGGTGAGGGAAGGGCTTTCTAGAATTAAGATACAGCCTGATTGAAAGCTTCATAAGCTCATTCTAAACTGCACTGATTACTTTTGCTGGAAAGTGCTTGGTTTGGTACCATGTGAGTAACGAATGAAGTCTTCATCATAAAGCAAGATGCCAGGCTTAGGAGGAGACTCCACCTTCCAAGAACTTTGGATTCTGCCACAGAGCCTTGGCAGACGGTGCAGGATCTGGGGCCCTTTGTTGAACCTCCTAGTTCCCCTCCGGAGAGTGGCCATCCTCCCCTCCCCCTCTCCCCGACTCCAGAAGCTGAGGCCAAATAAAATATATGTGTGTGAAAGGTTCATGTCAAGCATACATAGCATTCCTACTACAGTCAACCAAGTTGCTGGTACCTAATTCTTCTCCACAGCCAAGCCTCTCTCTCAGCAAGAGAGAATACGCACAGAGGACCAGTGGGGACTTTTTACTCTAAGGCAATAGATAAATATTCTCTACAATGTTTTTGGCTGACGCTCTTCAGTAATTCAGTTTCTACTTAAACCCGTCTGGTGCGCTGTGGCTCTTTCTTCCTCCCAAGACAGAATAACTTAGTGCTACATGGCACCAAATTTAAGAAAGTTCTATGTGGAACTTAATCAACACCCCTTCAAGGCCTTCTATTCATTCCACCTAATTCCATGTTATGAGGTTACCCAGAATATGTCCACTCTTCTTCTACAAGACGGCCTTCCAAATATTTGTAAACAACCATTGCATAAAACACAGCATAGTACCTGGCACAAGAGTATGTACTCAGTATATTTTCGTGAATAATATTACTATCATCATGTATACACTGTTTTCTTTTTTCAAATTTAATATCTTACTTGGATTTTCAACCATTCTTTAACATCTCACTTTTCTAATTCCTCCCCTTTGGACAAGCTATTCTTTGTTGATGTCCTTCAAATATTGTGCTCAGAACTGAACAGTTACTCCCAATGAGGTTTGACCAATGTGGAGTAAAAATGGAACTACAGCTTCCTTTGTTCTAGACACCATCCCTCTATTCATTTACCTTACGGTCACCTTAGTATTTTAGGAGTCATGTCCCACTGTTTGTTGGGTCCCTTTCAGTCTTCTACATGTGGACTATGTTTCAGCCTGATGTCACATATCACATATTTTTATAGGGGATAGATTTTTCTTTAAAAATTTGAGCATAGGACTTAACACTTACCTCTACTGTATTTTTATCTTTTAAAACTTGAATCCATTAGAGTATTCATGTACTTATGGTGCCCCATTCCTTTGGTGCTAGGATTCTGGTCCTGCTAATAGACTGACTTTTTCTAGATCCATCTTCCCTTTTAGGGGCTCTGGCCTTGGAATCCAATTTAACATTTTTTTGAAATGTTTGAAAAAATCACCCAGTTAAGTGTTTTACTATAGTATAGTAATAAAAGTGGAACTTAGTTTCTAGTTAGTAGAGATTCCTGAATGATGTTCCTATATGATCTCTCTTGACCATCTCACTTTCTTAAACTGTCCCCCTTTAGAAAAACAATATTAGGGATTACTAATAGCTTAACTTGTAGTATTTTGTCCCATGGATGGTGGATTATATTAATCTGTTTTTAATGTATAATAGCTGTGATGTGCTATGTATTTAATGAACTGTGCCTTTGAATTATAATTTCAAATGACAGAAACTGGGATGATTCCCTAACAAGTGTTGCATAACCCCATAATCACTTGCCATTATAACCTTTTAGAGGAGAGAGAAAAAGGAGGGAGGATTGAAAATTTAACATAAGAGACAAGAAAAAGAGGTAGTGCGAAGGAGGCAGAAAACTAGATTAAATCTAGAACACTGTACAGTCTGTTTACGTATTTCACCTCATGCCCTGTGTAAAATCAGGCCTATGCTTCTGTATCCTGGTCATGTATTAACGAAATCTCTTTTTAAATAGGCGATATGTGGGGTAGATTTTGGACAAATCTGTACCCTTTGACGGTTCCCTTTCGACAGAAACCAAACATAGATGTTACTGATGCAATGGTGAACCAGGTAGGAAAAAGAGGCCTTGACAACCGAATCTAAATCCTCGATTTCATTTCTATTTATGCCATCCTTCTTTTCTTATCTTTTGCATATGAAACCATGTCAATAAAAAAAATTCAAGCTAATTTAAATTTATCCCTTATGTAGCTGGCTTTTCATGGGAAAGTAGTTTACAATGTCAGTGACGTCAAGCACCTTCAATAACAGATGTGGTATTGATCTTGCTGAGAGATTTTAAAGGTGGAGATGACCTGGGTTTTCCGTTAAGTGGAAATAGCAACTGGTGGGCATCAATCTTTCCAAAGTTAGTCATTGCTAAGTAATCCACAGTAATCTCTGCAAATAATTTAAAAAAGGTGATATCATTAGAAGATTTTTGCTTATTTAAAAAAATCATTATTGTTAAAAATATTACAAGAGTCTTTAAAACAATTTTTAAGTCACCTTTTGTTATCTCCTTGGTATAATTGTTTAATTTCTCTGCGTTCCCTTCTAGTGATGCAGTCATAATTGTATATTTTTCTTTATTCTGCTAATACTCTACATTTCTGGGTAGAATTCATAATCATACTTCTAATGGCTGTATAAAATTTCTTCAGATGGTTGCACCACAATTTACTTTACTATTTACGCATTGCCCGACTTCTTCTTGTTAACAGTTTTAAATCTGGAAGCAGCAATGCAATGTGCATCTTCACATACACAACAGACTCTGGGGAAAAGCCTACAGCAGAATAAAAGCGTGAAGCTGCGAGGGCCTCTCTCCAAACTCCTGTAGCTGTTGCTGCTCCATTTCGCAGTTGAGCAGCAACAGAGTTCCACCTTTTTGTAGCTCCTTGGCCAGTCTGCAGCATTTTACACCCACATCTCTCCCAATTCTATCTTTACAACAAACCTGTAGGACCAGGAGGACAGGTATTGTGATAGTTCCATGTTGTAGGTGAGGAAACTGAGGCTCAAGTAAATGATTTGGCCAAAGTCACAGATGGTCAGTGACAGCTAAGGTTTGAACTCAGAACTCCTGGTATTTCCAGTCTGGATTTTTATTCATTCAATCTTCATTCAACAGATCTTAACTATACTTCCTAGTCTACTCTGTTTTGGTATATGTTCATTCTGCTTAAGAATGCCATGCTCATTAATACCAGTATTGCCTGACAGTAAGCCTCCGAAAGTCAATAATAAAAAAGGAATCCATAGTGTCATATCCTGTTTCATATCTCCGAGGCTGACATAGGAGGAAAACCAGACTTGACTGGTCTTGGAGATCAGAGGAAGTTTTCTGTGTCATGAAAAGTGATTTATGAAGTATCTGCCAATTATGCAGGCTTAGTTTGCCTGATGTGGGCCTTATCTCCAAAGAAGTCTTCTTCGGCTCCAGGAACGCTGGCTCCCAGGCTTTGCTGGATGGCAGACACCTACTTTGGCCCGTCTCCAGTTCCAGGACATTCGGAAAGTTCAGATTCCCACAGATGGAGAAGCCAAGGCCTGATACCCACTGGCTGCTGGGTCACATGTGGGCCTCTTTAGTTCCCAAAGCCCACGACTTCATGTCCACCGTTTTGCTTGTGTCTTCCACTGAGCCTAATGCCAGGGCCTTGCCCCTTGCAGGAATTCACTCAGTGCCCATTGGCTTGAGTTGAATAGTTTTAGCAAAGAGGTTATGGTTGTTTATATTTATGCTTAGAATACAAAGAGTAAAGACAACATCCAGTCTACTGTTAATATTTTTGTGAATTTCCTCATTGTACTCTTATAAGATTATACTATATAAGTGGTTTATATAGTCTGCTTTTTCACTTACTATTGTTATTAAAAACATCAATAAAAATTCTTTATAAATCTCATTTATTTAGATCTTCCATTTCACAAAGGCATCATTGTTTATTTAGCCATTCTGGTGGTGGTACTACTTTTTTTCCTATTAAAATTCTTCTACATGTTATATACCTTAAATTTATACAATGTTATATGTCAAATGTACTTCAATTTTAAAAAGTGATAGATTATTTTAAATGTAATTCTTTGACCCAATTTCTGAGAATTTCCTAGGGTAGTTTCCTAGAGATAGGATTACTGAGGCAAAGAGTATAAACACTTTGAAAGCTGTCCATACATGTTGCCA